CGCGCGCGCGCGCGCGTGCGCGCGCCTGTGCGTGTGCGCGCATGCGTGTGCGTGTGTGTTGAACCAGCTTGCAGAAGCACTTCCTCTACCTTCGGTCACACCCACATCCCTAGACAAGAAGATCTCCACCAATGCCAGCTTCTGATTCTGCATAACACGGACGAGACTTGCTCGGGCATGGGCACGTCTGAATCTGAAACATGCACACTAACTCTCTGCATCAGCCAGAATCAGAAGCTCAGGAGCGCACCTAACATCAACACCTCGAGCGCGCAGGGCTTGCCGTCCTGCGTGCCTTGCTTGAAGCTGACCTGCAGTATGGCAGGCTCGCAGCTCATGGCCCGGCATGCCAGTTTGGAAAACAGAGGCTGGCAGGCCTTCACACCCTCCTTTAGATTTATTGGGTTCGTCGGAGTGCTGCCCACGATGAACTTTCGGTGGACGAAAAGGCCTGTCGAGTTGCCCAAACCACGGACTCCCGCAGAAGGATAGTGAGCCGAAAGGATTCGAGAACGGCGGCCTTTACCGACTTCTCCGCCCTCCTCCTTCCCGGCGGGCATGATGAAGCCGAAGCCCTGCGCTGCGAAGCAGTCCCAAAGCAAAGCAAGCTTTGTTTTGCGAAACAAGCTTTAGGACTGTAGGAATGTGGGAATGAATTAATTAGAAGCTGACCTTGAATCCTGTTGTGGGAAGTCGGCATGCTGAAGCACACGGCACCTTCTCCGAGTCCCACTTGTTGACCCGGCCGTCCATCCGCGTATCCTGGCCAGGGTAAACGATCGGTGAGCTCAAGCGTTTCCCGAAACCTGGAAGCAAACCCACGCACCTCCTCCTTTTCCGGCGCCTTCGGCGCAGGCGCTGGATCTTCGGCGCGGGCAGGACCATCCTCACCCTGCAAGGATGCAGGCATGTCCTTCTGTAGCAACCTCGACTGTCTGACCCTGGAACCTGAGCGCCCTCCACCTCAAACTTCACAAATTCTGTCTTTGAGATGGCTCTTCGCATCTCTTCAGACCTGGCGCCGAGCTCTCAAGAAAGCACGTCTTGCTCAGGCTTGCGCTGTCCCCCGTCGGGGGCGGGACTGCTTCATCTTCTTTACCAGGGGATCCTGAGACACAGCAGACGCAGAGCCCAGAGCTGCCGCAAGAGAGGCCGAAAGCTGTCTTAAGACCCTGAGAAAGCGGCGTCGTCGTCGTCGATCCGTCTGAAGAAGCGATTATCACTTTCCTTTGGTGTGTAGTACACCTGGCTGTCTGCTCAAAGAGTCTCAAAAAACAACCGATGGATTGCAAGCCCCATGGGTGTCAGTCAGTTCTGCTCGGATCCTGCACTTGGAACAACTCCTTCAGAAAGCTGCCGGGGTGCTGTTTATAGGCTACATAAAATGTTGCATGCTATTTGCACAGGCGAAATTTCGAAAGCGGTGCCTGCGTCTTCAAGTGGAAATAGAGACCCGTTTCCGGGTGAAACTTCCACTTTGCCGTCTTCTTGTAGACCTCGGCTTCGGCTGTTCTGCAGTCTTGAATCTGGCATCGGTGTTGCACCCAAACATCTCTGCATGAGATGCTGGATAGACCGGAAACAGCACATTCATTCTTTTCAACACTTTGCATGCACCTCGCGGCATGGAAACACGTGAGACTAGCCTAAGTCGGACGGCACATCATGGCACATCGTCCTTCAATATTTCAATATCATTGGAAGGTACGGCGAAACACGCACGCACTTTGCATTTCCGGCACAGCAGCGCCTAAAGCCTCAAGAACGACAAGCACTGCCGTTCTTGCAGGACCTCACGGATCAGGAACAGCTCTGATGAGGCCGTTGGGGAGGAAACACAAATCGTAGGTGATCTTGACCTGGCGCCGGGCGCAGAAACGCAACATAACGACAAAGAGGAGGATGCTAAGAGAGACAATGTCAAGGTCGATGAACACGAGTGGGACAGTGAGTCAGAGTTCTCAGGCCCCCAGCCACGCTCGCAATCGCCAAGAGCTTCAAGGCCTTTCAATGCAGAGCCACTTTGCACGGAAAAGGCTCGAATCAGCCCAACCTCCAATATGAATGCCCCAGGCCCAAGAAAAAAATCGATGATGTCGGCGGCCTTGGTCTGTGCACCCTCGAAGATAAGTGGATACCGGTATCAGATTTCCCTTCTGATGTTATTGGACTGCCTAGCATGCCGTGCATGGCTACTGCCCGGCATGGGGGTGTCAGGATCGAGAGTTGGAGCCTGACAGCAGAACAGTAGCTGTGGCTGCAACAGTGAATTTCGATCACCACCCCCGTACCGGAGGCCCGGGTTCGAGCGCGCATTGCAAATAAGAACCAGTATGAACTTCCAAAGGGCACCAGTGAACTTCCCTTGGGGTCTCTAGGTTGAGGGTAGTGGGCTTATTCGGGTTTCGGGTATTCGGGCTTAAGGTATTCGCGCTTTGGGTCCTCGGGTTAAAGATGTCCGAGTGTAGGGTAGTCTGGTGTGGGATTTTCGGGTTTGGGTTCAAGCTATGGGTATTCGGGTATGAGGTCTTCGAATTTGAATATTCGGGTTTAGCGTTGACGGGGTTAGGGTTCAGCATCTCGCGTCTAAGGTTTTGATGTTTAAGGCATTTGGGTTTTAGGGCTTTAGGCTTTACGATGAAAACACAACAGAACCACTCCCGGACGTGATGTCAAAACGCCGTAGCCCTAACTGGCCATAACTCATGATGCAAGGATGCTACCAGGCCGAGGAGCTACCTTGGTGCGGGCCAGCCCAGCACCCTGCAGTGACGAGGCCTCTTGGTCAAAAAAAGAGCAAAGACATACAGCCTCTCTTGTGGAGCGCAGTCAGCAGAATCTCCCACCTTGATGGCCAATACTCCCGGATTCTTTCGCACAACTTCCCCAGCCCCCTCCTGCACAGCTCCAGGTGGGCAGGCTTTTGAAGGCACTGTCTCTCTCTCTGCAAAGGGCCCCCGTCCTCACCCAAGCCTTTCCGCAGCGCCTCAGCGGCTGCCTGAGGGGGATGTCGGATCCTGCACCGCTCGGCTCCACCTTGAGCCCAGCCTGCGTCACACGCTCCCCGACACACATGATCCCCACGTTGCGCTCGAGGGCAGCCAAGCCTGCAACGAGGTGATGCATCGAAGCTGCAGAGAAAGAAAATTGACGAAGCTGATCTCTGTGCTCTGCAGGAGAGCACAGCGAGGCAAATCTATCCAAGCAAGGCTCACTCGGCCTTGCTGCTCGCCGCCAGCTGCCCGAGCCAAGATCCTGAAGCCAGGCGCCCCAAGTTGATGCAACCTCGAAGAGCCTCCTTGCGGCCAGGCTTCCGGAACCGCCGTCGAACCCCTCGCTCATCGTCCGGTGTCAAAAACCCCTCCACAGGAAAAGCCGTGCTGTAGCAAGTCCGACGTCCAGAGCGCCTTCCGGCCTTCCGCCAATTAGGAACCTTGGACTCCAGAATCTCCAAGGCCTGAACCTCGAAAGGCTTCGCAGATCTCCGCAGCTTCGAGGGGTTCGCGCAAGCGGGTCCTTGCCGCGCCTCGGCCTCGGACAAGGGCAGGAGGTCGGCGACGGAAAAGTCGAGGTCATCCCAAGGACCTCCAGGCAGCATCTCATAGGGCAGACAGCGATCGCACCACTCACTGCAACCAGGATGATGTTAGCCCAAACTGCCGAGTTGCGACTGCCATCTCTACTGAAGCTCCAATCGTTCGCAATGTAGTCGTAAAAAGCCTGCATTGTGAGATTCAATGCTCCATCAAACTTGTGCTTCCGTGTAAGATTCAGGCGACGAACTTGATCGAATGTGGGGTTTCGGTTTTCCAACGAGATTCGCTGCTGGATTCAAATCTTCTGGGCTTGAAGCGGTAGAGTTGTGCTTGAGGTTGCTTGAGGCTTTGGCGTTTGTAATTTGATGGCGCGGGCCGGCCTTCCATGCTTCCTTCGGGTCTGGGTGCTTGTCCACTCCTCAATGTGGAAACCTTCGTTGCTCGAGCCCTGCTTTCTTTGCTATCGTGAGCTCCGTGGCCCACAACAAGCAAGAGCAACACGCAGAGTTCCCGCTCGTAACAGCAGTAGACCCTACGGGTTCTCTCACAATCGATTGTCATGGCACGCCTTTCTAAGCAAGTTGGAAAGTCATGGGGGGATGCACCTTGCCCTCTCCCTTTGCTCGGCGTGCGAGGCTGCGACCTGCAACGGTCTGACCAACAGGTGGGCTCAACATAAAACCGCAAGGATTTCGTTCCACTTGGCAGACCCTCGACCACAGCGGCTCCTCTGCACGAGCTGGCGAAGCTGAGCGGATTGAGCAACAGCACCTGCGAACATGAGAGGAGTGCTTCGCAGCGAGGGTGCTGTGAGCAGGCATCCACCAAAGCACGCGCACTGCTCAAACCCCCGACGCGCCCAAGAGCGACTTCAGTGCCAAAGCGTGTTGAGAGATCCCCAACAACACCCCGGCAGCTTCCAGCTGAAGACACCATGCGAGCAGTGCCACGCCCGGGCCCTCGAGTCGGTGTCCTTCGTTGGGTTTGGGCGCCCTCGCGTCAGAGCATCGGGACCCTTTGCCGCAAGCACTTTCCCAAGAGTTCGCCCAAACAAGCCCGACGACGGAAAAGATGATCATCATGCTGCTGGCCCCACGGTTGCTCAGAATAACGACGGTGGTAGTGCCACCCCGAATCTGCAAGTGGAGCTTCGTCGCGCATGCATGCTTGACAGCCGCTACCGCGGACCAACCCCTGGAAAGCATCATGGGCCCCAGTGTCCTCGAAACCTGAGACAGTGTTCTGGCACATTGTTGAAGAATCGCACAAACGTGGGCTCGCATCGTGAGCATCGTTTTGGGGAGAGAATTCTTTCTTGCTGCCGGGACATGATATCCAAATTGCTGAGATCCACACAGGACTCAAAAGTTTAGAAACAATCTTATACACACCAAAGCACAACTTGCACAACGGGGCCGGCCCATGCTGCAAGGCCTTAACTCAGTGCACAGATGGACTCTGAGTGCACCCAAGCCATGTGCAGTGAACATGACGAGTTCATTGCGGCTTTCATGCACTGTAAGCCCTGTAAGCTCAAGCCAGGAGCACCGGGAGAGCCAGGAAAGCTGCACAACTTGCCCTCCGCACCATCCGCGCCATCGCAGCAAGCACAGTCGCAGAAGGTACACGAAGGCGTCTCATCAAATCATCTTCAGGGGTCTCCTTTTCAGTACAAGCTCCTGCTGTGCTGCATATCAATGCATAGCAGCTTGATGCGGAAAGCCCACAGCACTGCTCGATCTGTAATGCTGTGTCTCTTCTGATTTAGGATTCCACGCATGCTTGGCTCAAGTGGCTTGATCAGGGCAGTGGAAAGTCGGCCGACGGAATCGAGATGTGCATCGTTGCTCCACCTACAGCTCCATGCTTCTGTCACACGTTCCTCGGGCAAACCCTGGACAGCCGAGTCCACGAGCAGCTCTTGCACTGAGTCAAGGGCGTACCAGCCACTGCCTGCATCGGGGATTCGTGCCACACTTCCGGTGGCTTTCCCAGGTCCCTTTGAGGCCCCGGCCATCGCCGGCTGGCTCGTAGTCTTCGAACTGCGTTGGCGGCACCCGCTCCGGGGACCCAGACCTGCATCTCAGCACACACGCAATATCAGGCAATGGCCCGCCACCGCCCAATCTGGGATCAAGGCGGTGCGGCCCTTCGCTTTTTTGGTCTCGACGGCGACCTTCGAAGCCGCAGTCCACACTCGGAGACCAGCAGATTCTGATAGATGCGTGTGCTGAGCTCTGAGCCTGGAGAGTTCCCCCTCGTAGTCCGAGAGGTTCCTGTCTGTCGCTTTGCCGGTTACTAAGCCTCCCCGCGTCTCCCCGGCTCCCACTTGTGGGTTCTGTCGGCGGCGTTTCTCTCATGGAACCCTCGTCTTCTGCTCAGGTCCAGGCTTCTGCGACTCTGACCTGCGCTCTGCGCCAAACTTCGCATTTCCGGGTTTTCAGCAATCGATCTTGCACACGATCTGTAGATCTACCAGCATGCAAATAATATACATATACATATACATATACATATACATATACATATGCATATACATATACATATACATATACATATACATATACATATACATATATATATATGTATATATGTCTTTGTTTACACATACATACACATATACATATACATATACACATATATACACACGTATATGTATGTATGTATGTATGTATGTATGTATGTGTATATATATATTAATATACACATACATATAACATATACATACATACACAAGTATATGCAACTATGCACGGATATTCAATGCCACTTCTGTCCTGTTCTCGCATGTAGCACTTCCTGAATGTGCTCACTTAGGATATGTGCATGTATGCATAAACATCTTGAAAACCAACCCATGCATGTATGCGTACACACTTGCATGCACAAGTGTAAACAAGTATGCATACACATGAGTGTGCATATTCTGACGGAGTTATTTATGAACATGCACGTGTATGTTTGTGTACACAGTTGTTCTGTCATGATAGTGGGCTCCTTGCAATGATGTCATAGGCGGTGACATCGATCTGTGCTTATTGGCACGAAATAGCAGATCCGTATCCGTACATAGAGTTTGACTCGACAGACGGCCGGATAAGGCACGGCGGATGTGTGTATGTTGTCCTTTATACACAGCTGTGCTAGACAGAGATACTGTGAGATACTAGACAACATGATGAGATATCCATAAAACAACATACTGCAAGAGAGGGCATAACACTTTGGGCAAGAAAACAACGCTGTCATGTAGCTGTAAGGAAATGTGTAGCTATGTATGTGTACAACTATGCAAGGTTTTCGTATTGTTTCCGCTAGTTTGAGCTATGTACAGACCGTGCCATACACTCTATGACGGCAGGTTTGACCTGACGCCTGTTGATGTCTTGGGCTCAGTATATGTGAAAAACATGTGCAGGTGTGCATGTGTTTGATTGTATGTGTGTCTATGTACATCTACAATGACAATGACTGTGGCTGAAGTTGCCAGCCCCTGAGTGCACTGGAGCCGGTGCATAGGCATGCCTGGCTGGTGACGGTGTGGGTGTCCGTCGCGGCGGTGGCGGCGCCTTCTCCTGCAGATCTTCTCGGGTGATTCCGATGAACAACGGAATTTCGGGCTTTCGCGGAACAAACGGCATCAGACACAACCAACCCCGGACTACACGGAGCTTACACCTACACAAAGATTGGATCTTAGCTGGCTTGGACAATGGCCTCGAGAGGTTGGTCTGCACGCAGAAACAAATTACAGACACTGGGAACGGCAAGTTTAAACAAGCTCGGCTTCGATGTCCTTCGCCTTCTCTTTCTTCTCCTGTTTCCTGACGCGCTGAAAATCACTCTGCATCGTAAGGGGTGTAAGGCGAGATCTTCAACGCTGAGCTGGCAAAGCTGGATGTATGCACTGCGAGTCTGCAGCCTCTTTGGAGCAGATTCGGACCTCAAAGCGGCGTTGGCTAGAACTACTCTAACCGGAAGAGACAAACTGCCTGGCTGCTGGCAGCTTCTGCGCAATTCATGTCCGAAGGCCACAACTGTGCTCGTCTGAGCTCTCAACCGAGAGGCCGCCCCTCTCCGCCGGCGCCTCTGCCCAGCCACGGCTCTTGAAAGGCGAAAACGATTAAGGGAAAAGCTCAGCTAAGCGACTGCGACCGTGAGGCAACGGCCCTGTGGCAAGGACGTGCTGAGCCGCTGACGAACGTGACCGGCTTTTCCTTGCCAGGATCTCACAAGCCAAAGCGAATCTCGACCCTTTCGCATAGGCAAGTTCCCTGCAAAAACGGGTTTTGAAGACTGCCCTTGTTGGTAGGGGGTTGTTCATACGATTCTTAGAAGGAGTTCATGGGGTAGTCGGTTGTAAGTTGTAAGTGTCTTACACCGAATTTCAACCACTGAACCCCTAAACCATGGGCCCCAAGTCCTAAACCCTAAAACGTAAATCCTAGGTCCTACGTCTTCAACCCTACATCCTCACTTCAGCAGCAAGTACTCAGATGCCGTGTCAACCACTCCACAGTTGGGTACGCTCACGCCGATCCGAAGCTATGCGTGCTTTGCAGTCAACCGCTTTTCCGAGGTGCGGTATGCTAATACATGCAGCGCATCTGCACTAGGCCGGCTGGTCCGAGATCCTGGCCGTTTATCTCTGCCCCGAGATTTACTCCGTCCTGCGACCGTGCACCACTGCAGCTACGTTAATGAAGTCCCCAAAATGCTGCAAGCAAACGGCACCCTCGTAAGATGGATCGAAACAAAATCTCTGCAAGAAAGGTGAGGGTTGGACGTCCACATACTAGCCCTCTCAGCACAGGGCTAGCTCGCCGTCGATCTCGAGACCTTATCTAATCAATCATGCATTTCAAGATCGACTTCCTTGCTGCCCTCCTGGCAAGGCCAAAGATCGGTTGGCCCTTGCCAAGCTGTCGAGAAAGATGCAACAGAACCTGTCACCTTGTGACCTTGTGATCTTCAAGGCGGCCACCCTGAGCTTGACCGAGCCATTCTGCAGAAGCTGCCTGGGAAAGTCACATTCGTCTTCCGGTCTAGTGCTGAACTGGCAGCGCTTCAATCCCGGGAAACATGTACTCTACCAAGGCTCTACCACAGCAGAACTAAATGCCTCTCTGCGTTCGCGCTTGTGACTCTTGACCAACTTGGCACATCTTGGCACCCCGACAGCCCTGGCTCTGCCTGTCTGCGCGGCCTGCAACTGCAACGTTGTTCATGCTCAGTATGGTAACGTGCACGGCTAGCAGCCTTGAGAAGCGGCGCTGACCCCTCGCGGGGGTCTTCTTCTACCAAAGAAAACTATGAGCCAAACATCCCACGCCGGAATGACACTACTGTTTGCCAAACCTGCTACCGCATTTGCAATAACTTTGCGAGCTCCCGGATCAACTCTTGAGAAGCAAAACGAAAATGCAACGTAAATTCCCCACGTCCGGTCTGATCGAACGTGACTCTTCGAAGCTGCACTGACCATGTCGCATCGTCTTTTCACACTGGGATATCCATTCACCCGTTTGCGCATGTTGCGACCTGGAAGCCGTTTGTTTGGCTCGAACGGAGATAAACAGGGTAGTAGTGGAAGGTGTTGATTCGTAAATCACCCCTTACGAGCAACATGATGTACGAGCCCGAATTTTTCGAGCACAACAGCTGCCTTTTTCATGCGTTTAAACAGAACGTCTGAAACCTACCGATGATCTTGCGTGTTTTTCTTACTGTACTATGTCTTCGGCTTCACAATATTCAACCTGTAGTGCCTCCATCCCTTTTCGAGAGGAGGACAAAATGCAGGCCGGTGCTCCTCGAGAATAAGAAGTTGTTCTTTTGCAAAGTTCGAACAAATTTGTTACCAACACAAATGTAAATCCTACCAGATTATATGGGGCACTATTTCATCGGTGCCAATACCAGCTAGCTACCCTAAAAAAAAAGCCGGTCTGCACGGACACCCAAAACGAGGGCATACAGGTCACAACTCCACAGCCTGAAATAGGTGAATGCTGTGGAGATCCCAAATTTGGCCACGGCTACGAGTTCGATAAATCCAGGCTTTTTGAGGCGATGATGGGCAATTGACACACTCCAAACCTCAGCAAACATGGGTACAAAGATGAAGCATTTAGATTTGCAATTCACCCTAGTACCTAGGCGCAGCAAAGCAAAGAAAGGTGTGGATATGACTGGCAGAACCGCATGGAGAAGCTTGCACTGCGGAATGCGGAGGGTGTGCACTTTGACCTCGTGTTCCACTTGCGCAGTAGTGCGGAAAAATCACGGCGGGCTTTAACTCGCCGTATGAAACGTCACCCACAGACAATGGGTGCAGCTTTCACGCGCGCACTTTCACCAAGAATGACGGAACTCGACTTGCTCCGGATGTGCTTGGGTCATAGGATGTCCAATCCCACGTCAACAACCGAACAACACAAAAACTCACACAAGCAACAACGGAAACAAATGAGGCTTGATCCAATTTTCCGTGTTCAAAAAAAAATTAGCTTTGCCAGGGAATTATGAATCCAGTTTTCCGTATTCCCGAAAGCATCGCATCGCGAAGGGTTCTTCCGTGCAGAGCCATTCAGAGAAGTACACAGGATCAAGCACACAAAGGATCAGGCACAGCGTTAATACATCGATTGAAGTGCAGAGCATCGAGTGCATAGACACCGGTGCATAGAATGAAGTGCATAGTACACAAAGTGAAGTAGATCAGAATGAAGTATATCGAGTGAAGTGCATTGTCAAGTGCATAGTACACAGAGTAAACTACATACCGGTAAGGCCCCTCTACGCGAGGCTGGAATTTGAAAGTCTTTACGGACCCGGAAACAGGGCCGCGCAACGGGGCGGTGAACCAATCCAGCGCCGCTTGCGCTGATCAGCGCGGGCTGCGTAGGCCGGAGGCGAATCCAAGTACACGTCTGCCGGCTCTACATAGGCTGTTTCGTTAAGTTTCAGCAGCCGTACATTGTCCCGGTTGCAAAGCCAATGGTCACTCTCAAGCTCACCTAAGTTCTGTGCGGACAAATCAAAAGTCGCCACTACTGCACGTCCACAGAACGAGTAGGCATAGGAGTACACATTGGTCGCGGACTTTGCATCCTTGACCATCTTCGGACGGCCTTGCAAGGCTTCACGGTGCCGCTTCAGGAACAGAGCGTCTCCAACCCCGTCCAAAATGACACCGGCATGAATCCTGCGGTCAAACTCTGCCAGGTCCATCTGCTCAGACTCCAGTGACCTCTATAGGTACTCTGGAAGACCAGGTTGCTGAGCTCTACGCTGCAATGTGTGGGCTGCAAGCATGGACTTGCCCACAATTGCCAAAATTGGGCGTCGAAACCGAGAGCTCCCATCGTGACAGGCCACAAACTCCTGAAGCAAAATGCCACACTGCATGCTGTTGTTTGATGTTGCGCGCGCTCTACAGGAAACACAAATCATGGGCATTCTACAGGCCTCGATCACCGGAAACGACTTCATGGGCAGGGTTGCTGGCTCCAGCGCCTTCGCATGAGCACAGATGGCGTCCTGGAGCGCTTCATCACGCAGGTAGCGCTCAGCAGCCTTACAATCTGCGAGCCGCTTCTGAAAGCCCACCGTCACTTGCGCTGCCATCTTCAGGTACGCCTTGCGGGAAAGCTTGCCGGCCTTCAAGAGGTTGTCCAACCACCAACCCTCCACGCCGTAGGCTTTGAAGGGCGGGTAGTTGGTGTAGTTGAACCTGAGAAACTTGTCACAGGAAGCAAAACAACCGTGAACTCTTGAGTCTTGAGCCTCGCTATACCACATAACTCCTATTTCGAGGCCATTCGAGGCTGCTTCGAGGCCGCCCGAAGCCTCATTTCCCGGGTTTTGAGACCGCTCGAGGCCTATCCGAGGCCTTCCAGGGCTCCAAAACCCCTATAGCTTACAAGACTACGAGGCCTCGGGGACTTGGGGCTTTATAATACTAATTGAGGAGTCCCCACAAGGCCTCGGCCCGCAGCACAGCGCTTTCTCTCCACGCTTTCTCTCCCTAGAATTTTAAGCCGCAGTTTGTTCCAAGTCCCCAGGCTGCTCTATAAGCCTCTAAGCATCTGCTGCCCAGGCGCAGAGTTCCAAGTTTGTCGGCGACGACATAAAAATGACCAAATCGCACAGCACCTGTGTACGTCTTGCCGGACGCGGTATTTGGTGTCACATGCGGCCGCACGCCTTCGAAGGCAAAGATGTTGAGGGCATCCTGACCACGCCGATGGAAGGCAGTTGATAGATGAAGATAAGCGTGCAGATGGACCCGTTCTGGTGACGCGCGCTCCATGGTGGCCGAGACACCTTCTGCTGAAATCTGGTCAGCCAGGCGGCCAAGGTAGGCGACAAACCGGCCGAACAAGTTCTCGAGTACGCCGTGATCAAGCGCCATGAAGTCGCTGTGACTCGAGTTGTAGGTGAGCTGCACGGCTGAGAACTTCCACACCTTGCCTTGCGCAGGCGCTGGAGCGCCAGTATCTCTGCCTTCGACATTGGCAGCAGAGAAAGTGGCTTTGAAGGCTGCAATAGCATGATTGACTTGTCTT